GAATCGAACCTGGGACCCTTCAGTCTGCAGGCTGACGCTCTATCCACTGAGCCAAAACTGGTTAGGGTGCGGCCTGCACTCTTCTCCACCAGCCGCGCTGCCTCCAGTCAATGGCAGTTGTCACATTGTCACCAGCAGAGAAGGCTGTGCATTCCAGGCCCTAGCAACTCAGGACAGGGAGACGAAGAGATGCCTCTGCATTGAGAAGCAGAAATGTGGGGGTCGGGGCTGGAAATGGGGCCCCACCCAGCATAGGGGGCAAGGAACCGCCCTGACCCCCTCTGGTGTGCTGAGCACCTCTGTCTGGGAGTGAGTGGGGAAGGGGCACCTCGAAACCTGCCAGGGTCAGCCCTGAAGGGACTAGGATAGAGGATGGGCGTGCTCCCCTCCCCCTGGAGCGCTTCAGCTGCCCAGTGCCTTCCTGTGCTCTGTCTCATCCCCGGCAAACTAGAGATCAATGAGAAAGAGTCTCTGAGTTCCAGAAACTGTCACAGCAGGATGATCCCCCAGCTCCTGGCTCCTCCCCGTTCCAATATACAGCAGTCTCTTCTCGGGCAGGGACTGTCTTGTTTTCTGCTTAATTCTCAGTGCGGTGCCCAGGGTTTGGCTCATATGGTCACTCAGTAACTGATGGACAGACAGACAGATGGACAGATGAATGGATGGATGCATGGGCAGATGGATGGGTGGGTGGGTGGACAGATGGATGGACAGACAGGTATATAGATGGGCAGGCACATACATGTGCTATTCTCTGCTGGTTCTCCCCATCTAACTCTTCCCCAAACCCCTCAGGTGGTAGGGATAATTGCAGTCTCTCCTTTCCACGCACCATCTCTGCTTCCTTCAGCCCATATTTTCTTCCTTTCCATGTGATTGTTTAACAGAGTGCCCCACCCCGCCCCCCATGCGGTGTTCCAGAGCCGAAATCCTGCTGCCTGGCGTTTCTAGCTGAGGCAGGGGGAGCCTGACCAGCTGGCACACTCCGGTGGGGGAGTGTGGGAGGGAATGCAGAGGGGGCCCCGAGGGGCACACAGGGCCTGGCCGGGCTCCTGAGCAGAGAGGGCAGTGGGTAGTGCACCGGAGCCATGTGGCCAGGCTCCGGGACCTATAAGGCATGTTAGTGCTGAGATGAAGAATACACATGGCTCTACTAACATTTGTAGAACAGATTAACTAACGATTGAGGGAAACAGTCAATACTTGATGCATTGTCAATACTGACAAGCTGACAAAACGTGGAGAAAGCTAAGAACTTGGATGGATCTATGGACAGTACTGTTCATTACTCTGTCAACTCATCCTACATGGAGTTGTCCATCCCCTGCTATGTAGACAGCAGTGTGTGTGTGCGTGTGTGTGTATGTGTGTGTGCCTGCATGTGTGTGTATGCATATGTGCTTAGATGGACTTGATAATGAATAAGACAACATCTGTATCTTTGTCCTCAAGGAGCTTGGTATCTAGCTATAAAGATAAGAAATACACAAAAATAGCATCAAAGTGAGATATGGTGAATGAGTGACCCCAGAGTTAAGAACAAGGAGATGAGGGAGTTTGCAGGTAACACACAGAAAGTGCACACCCGTGTGAGGTGCGGCTGCAGCGCTGCCCCGGATGGGAGGTTCTGCCACCGTTGGTTCTGTGCCCTCTGACCTGAGCTTCCGACCCAGGCGAGTGGACCGAGCTCCTTCCGGCTCGGGAACTCTGCCCTCGGGCACGTGGCTTCTGCCTGGGGCGGACCGGAGGAGCTACCCCTGAGGAAGACCCTGCAACCTGGGCCTACGAGAGTGGCTCTGCATATCAGTAACTGGTGCCAGATGTGCATTGCAGGTTTTCATTTTAGTGCTAAAGCCTCCCTTGCTGCACAGCCAGCTGTGAGCAATGTAGCCTGGTCATCTGGTTTCTATGATTAAAACATTAGAGGGAACATTCGTCGCTGGAGGGCCAGGAGGGGACAGATGGGTATACACATGTTCCTCACTCCTGGCAGCGGCACTCGAGGCCTGAGCTCTCATCACACTCAAGTGTAAGGTGCATTCACACAGCCTTCAGAAGTCGCCCCCCCACTGGGCCCGGGTGGGTCTGCACCGAAGCCAGGCAGCTCCTGTACTTCCCTGGTCCCGTTCTCCTGGAGCAAACCTGACAAATTAGACACTGCTTTCCCGACTCCCGCATCCTCATAGCATGACCTGCAGTGCCTTGTCCCGTGGCTGTGCTTGCCAGCAGGTTGCACTCACAGGACTCCAAGCTGCATGTGTCCCGCTTCCCAGAATCCCCAGAACTAAGTGGGTTTTGGAAAACAGGTGTTCGCTGTCTCCCTAAGCCAGTAGAGCTGGGTGTCTCCGGGAAGAAGGTAGAGTGTCAATTTGAGCAAAAGGAGAGCCCATTTTGCAGCAAAGACATCAGGAAGTCTTTTCTGAGTAGATAAATCCTGACTGAGGGCTCAGGACAGAGGGGCGGGGGAGCCTGGCAGCCCTGTGCAGAGGCTGTTTAGACTGAAGGCTCCACAACTGTGGCTTGGGGCCTTGGCAGGTAGGTTGCTAGAACATTCTCTCGCCCCTCGATCCACCACCTTCCCCAACATCTATGGAAGCTGTCATTAGGCCACTCTTTCCAAAGCAGATTAAATTTGCTCAATGGACATTTATTAAGTACCTGTATTTGAGACAGGAAAAGAAGGTAAAATTAAGCTGATTACTTAACTCCAGTATCTTTCTATTGAAAATCCCTGTGTGTAAGGAGAGAACCATTGCTTTCTGCTTCTCAGATGTGCATTGGTGTGACATGAGTCACAGAGAAAGACTTTGAATGCTCGGAGACCCTTCCATTGAGCAGTAGAAGTAGAGAGGAGAAAAGACACTGAACGTGCTTCTGGCCTGGACACCAGCCCCCGGGCCCTTGCGGGGCATGGCAAGCCCCCCTTCCCCCCAACACACACAGGTCGCCCCTAGAGCTCTCCGCTGATCCTACCTTCCTGTTGCAAAGTTTCATTTCTCTCCGCTATTTTTTTTTCTCAATTTTCACTACCCACAGATTTATTCTTGCTAAAAGTAGCCCCTCCTTGAAATACAAATACCTTTAACATGCCAATACAGGTATTTTACAAGTGAAAATATAAGCCACTGCCATTTGTATTTATTTATTCTCATAGTCATCAAGTATTTTTGGGGTTCCTACTATGGATACATTTTAGAGTTCACATATAAAGTAAGTCTAGACAGAGAAGTTCAGTGGCGATAGTAAGAACAGTGGTCACTACCATCGGGGGCTGACATTGAACCAATCACTGTGCTAAGTGATTTGCATTCACCATCTTATGTAGTCTTCACAACAACCCTTTGAGGTAAGATACAGTTAATATTACCGCCCACTGAACAAGAAACAGAGAGGTTAAGTAATTTGCCCAGAGTCACACAGCAGGTACAGTGGCAGAGCCAGGAAGCCCTATCAGTTCAACTTCAGAGCAAAAGCTTTTCCCCAATAAGTTCTCATTTTCTCTCTAATACCTTCTACATGCAGCTATCAAGTTTAGAGACTGAGAGTTTACCCCTCAGCCCTCCCACCCTGTCCACGCCCAGACCTCACCTCTTCTTGACAGCTCTCTGGTAGAAGGCCCGGCTGTGGCCAGTCCACACAGAGCAATCTCCACCTGTCTTTTCTGATGATCTCTCCAGCCCTGAGCTGATCTGGGAAGGGCATCCTGGGGTAGGACAGGCAGCACCACAGGGAGGTGACTGGGCTGAGAAGTTAGGGGACACACGAGTCACCAGGGCTTACATCCCAGGGCTCTGTTGCCGTCATCTGCCCGGCAAAGTGGGCCAGTTGCTAACGGTGCCTTTCTCTTCCTTTCGCAGGCATGAACGCTTTACAGTTACAGAATCTGGCCACGCTGGCGGCCGCTGCAGCCGCAGCCCAGACCTCAGCCACCACCACCAACGCAAACCCTCTGTCCACCACGAGCAGCGCCCTGGGAGCCCTCACCAGCCCTGGTAAGAGGACGTGAGAAAGGGTACCCAGGTCTGCACACACCCGGTGCCACGTGCAGGGTAGGCGTGCCCAGGCAGCCGGGGAACTTACCTGGGCATCGGGGTTAACTTGTTTCTTTATTTTTAAAGAACCAAACTTTCAATGTGTGTTTTATTTTCCAATGGAAAAAAGTTTTCTCTGAGAGAGTCCACCGTGCTAGTGGTTCTCACACATTCATTTTGTTTCAAAAATGTGTTGGCTTTCAATGTGCGTGTGTTTTACTTTCCAACGGGAAAAAAAGTTTTCTGTGAGAGAGTCCACCGTGCTAATGGTTCTCACACATTCATTTTGTTTCAAAAATGTGTTGTCCACTCAATCCTTCCTAGGTCTTCACCATTATGAAGAGCTTCAATCTCTTAGTCATGCTTTTTCTTCTGTCTCTTTTTTCTTTCTTTCTCTCTCTTTTTTTTAGCAATTTAAGAATTCTCTGTTAAATCTCAAAATCTCTAGTCATTGCAGTGTTACATTTCTCACCACCACCATTCTTCTCGTTTGACTTTAAAGTCCACGGTCTAGAGGGACCACATTTGTTGCTTGTTGATGGTCATGTCTGGGCTGTGTCATTTAAAGTCTTTCCTCACGTATGTTGATGCCTTATTCAAAAGCAGATGCCATTTTTCTTTCATACAAGCCAGACCTAATGTGGTTGCTTGGATACCATGATTTGTTTGTTAAGAAATGTTTCGCTGGCTCCTCCTCCTCTCTGAATTTTCTAGACCTTGATAAATGACCTCACCTCCTTCTCTGGTGGGTGGAGGAGTTGACCTGGACAATCTCCAAACTTTCTCTAACTCTGAAAACCTCATGACCCTCCACCAGCTATGCCCAAAAGACTAGCTAAGTGTTGAAAAAACTTTCATCTAACAGCACGGGGTTTTCTTTGAGAAAAATAGAAAATGAAAGCTGCAGCACACCCCTGACCAGCTTGCTTAAAGCTTTTGACATCAGGGAACAGGCAATAGCCCTTGGTTTGTTTCTAAAACAGTGTAAGACATTTCCCTCTGAGGGCAGTTTGGCGGGAGAAATCTAGGGGATATGTAGGAAGAGCTGGGGGATCTATCCTTAATGTGCTGTAACCTCATAGCAACAGCCCATAGAGCATTGGCTTCATTCTCTAAAATGTCTTTTAAAATGTACCATTCCTCTATGTGGGCCTCGTTTCCTGAAACAAATGGTATTCCTGAGAAACAACTTTGTCATTTCTTCCAACAAATTAAGTTATAGCTCTAATGCAATAAATGCTACATTTGTTATTAAATAAATCATATAGTGACTCTTTTTAAGAAATAAACATTTTTGACACGATAAATACCCCTTATAAAAATAAGGATTTTTCTTAAAAACAATTTTTAAAATTAACCTCTCTGACCTATCTGTTTTATAAATTGGACTGGAAAGTATTTTCTCAAATAAGAATTTTTATCTCCCCTATGAAGGCTATGAAATGATTATATTAAAACATCACACAGTTTATTGTATCTTTAGTCAGAAGCTGACATTTTTAACTATATTTAATTGGAGAGAAAAAAACTAAAAGTCACTCAAAATCTGAACACTTTGTTGTTTATTTTTAAATGAAGAGGATTTGCACCTTTTTTAAAAGAAAACAATATTAACTTTATTTTGTCTAAAGTAAATTTTTCTAATTTTTCCAACCTTGGAAAAATTACCTTCTCTCCCTTTTATTGAAAACTAGAGGCCCGGTGCATGAAAATTCATGCACTGAAGGGGGCGTCCCTCAGCCCGGCCTGCCCCCTCTCACAGTCC